ATTATAAAAGGAATATCTGATATTACTGTTATAGCTATAGTAAGAGTAATAAGAGAAGATGGAATTAAAGAATTTGAACAAATTAGAAATGACTTTTAAAAATTGATAACTATTATAACATATTTAAGTTTAACAAGATCAGTAATGAGTGATGCAGTAATGAAATTTTTAAGTAATTAATAAAATGAAAGTCATTAATATCTTGATAATTTATTATCAACATTAGCAAAAATAGAATAGATGAAAAATGTTATGAACTCTAATAAACATGATCCTATTAAAGATACATAATTATATAAGCTATTATTTGGAAAAGGTAACATTTATGATCCATTTACAGCTAATCATCAAAATATAACTGTAAGTTAATAGATTCCTTAAAATCAATAGATTAATTAATTATCTAATCAAGAAAAATAGACAGTATAAGTATCTCCAATTAAATAAGCACTAACACCTATATCTGAATAAAAATAACAGTAATAATAGATGAATCAGTAAACAATTCTTTAACATTAACAAATAAATAAATAAACTAGACCATTAGTACAAGTAGAAGATTTTAGTGAAAATTCAGGTGATTCTTCTGTAGATCTTGGGAATAAATATATAGTAAATGCTAAACCATAGAAATAAATAAATGGATCTGATAGTGATTCAGAAATATAAGAGATTCCTAATTTTAAGATTTGATATTAATACATAGCAACCAAATAATTATTAACTTTGCAAATATATAATATATTTATAACAAAAGATTCAATTCAGTTACCTAGTATATTCATTTAGCTAACTATCTTAATAATGATGCCAAATATATTAAGGGATTGAAATCCATTGCTTCTCTTTATATTCTTAATTATAGTTTTAATTTCTCTAATTCATGTTTATCAGGAGATTCTTCCTCTCCTTAATCTTCTTATATTTATCCAAGCAAATGATTAATTTCCTATTTCATCTCCTACATTGTAATTTCATCAATTAAGTTTTATGATTGCTATTAAAATTCATTTTCTATGGGAATAAGTTATTCTAATTTTTTTCCAGTCTATTCATCATTGATTGATTTATTCTCTGGATTCTCTTCTTATCCTTCAGAATCACTACCAAAGTCTGATCCTAATTCTTTTTTTAAACGATCTCTCTCTACCCGTCTTTTTTCTATTTTATCGCAAATCTTTATTTATTCCAACCTCTCTTTATGTTTATTTACTTCTTCTGTCTTCTCTACATATTCTACTAATTTAGCTAATGCAGTATGAAGAGTAGGAAAAATGTCATTTTACAAGTATTCTATTTCTTCTATTGTCCCGATTCTATTATTTTCAAACTACATTAAATTAAAATTTTCAAAAAATGGATCACTATGATGATTTTCATATAAATAAGTCTAACAAAAAATATACAAGTATCAAAGATATATCAGAAAGAACTCAAAAAAGCATAAATGTTAAGTTTAAGAATAATAGATACTCAAGTATTTAAAATCTTTAAAAATTAGAAGATTGAACAATTTCTATCATTAAAATAATTCAATAAATCCTAAAACTCATTTTAAATAATGGGGGATCATTATAAATTGTATAATAGTTGAATATAATGCATGGTAATTAAAAATAATAGAATTCACATAATAAGTTTATTTATTGCAATCATTGGATCTATAAAAGAAAGAATTCAATAATAATTGATGTGATCTAATTATAGCAAATAATGAAACAGAATAAATAAAGATATAATATATACAATTGAATATACTTTAATTTTCGAGTGAATGTAAAAGAGATAGATAAATACAATAAAAAATTAAGAGATGAACTATTCAAAAACTTGAATGATATAATAGATGATTTAGTATGATTTGTTAGTTGAATTAAGATTTTAGGAGAGAAATTTTTCAAAAGATTATATTTAATGATAGAATAGATATGATAGATAAATTAAAATTATTGATGAATTACACAATAAATAATAGCAAATAATAAAGATATAAAAATAACTGATTATCATATGTTATTAAAAAAATACAGTAAATTGAGATTAAAAATGATTAATCTTATTTATGGATTAAGGTTAGATATTATAGAGAAACAAGAATAACTGGTTAAGATTTGAATAAAATAAAGGAAGAATTACTAAAAAAGTAATAAGAAAATCCTTAGTTTAATATATATTGTAAAAATTAAATATAATTGATAAAGGTTATGAAATTACAATAAAAAAAAATTGGATATGAGATCTTAATTAGAATAAATAGGGGAGGAATTAAATTTGATGATTTAGGAATTTATTTATTGATTTGAATTATAAAGAAAGAGAGAATTAATAATATTTAGTATAATTGATTTTAGCAATGATAGTCGTTTTTAATTTTTAATTAAATAAAATAATGAAAAGCGCTTTAATTGCTTGTCTTATCTTGAGCGTATTCAGTGTTGAGATATCTCTTAACAATGTTGCCACCACATAAGCACTTGAGAAATTAAAAGAGTCTTAATGGGCATCATTTATCGTTGATTTTGCTGAAGTTGAATTGTCCAGTGGAGGAGCTCTAACAGAATTAGTAGAGGCTATTAATCAATTAATTGATTAATTAGAAGAAGAATTAGATGATATTCATCATGCCTATTCCAGAAGAACAGATGAACACAATCGTGATGTGACTAGATTAGAATAAGAGATTTAAGATGCTGATAGAGGTATTAAATTTTATCTAAATATAATAGATATTTTTAATGGTGAAGATTTCATTGATAACGTTCTTATTCCATAAAAAGAAAGATTTTAATCTGCTTTAGCATAATTGAAGACAAATATTGAAGAAAATAGAAGAATTCTTGATGGAGAAACTTTAAATAGAAAGAAATAACATGAATAATTTTTATCTAACATTGCTGAAATCAATGAAGCTATTGGTGCTGTAGATGAATCTTTAGGATTATTATCATAAATTGCAAATCCATCACTTGTTTAATTCAAAAGAGTTTAAACAAATCTTAATAGAATCTAATCATCATTCTAAAATCATTCATCATTTGCACCAATTATTAGAGCACTTCTTGAATTAGCTACAGAGTAAAATTTTACTGATCAAGGTTCACTTCAATAAGTATATAATATATAATTATATATAGCTTGTTAAAATCTTTAATGAATTAAGAGTCTAATTTGTTGATTCACTTAATCAAGAGACTGCTGATGAAAATGCTGCAGAAACTAAATTTGCTGAAAGAGTTGCTTAATTAGAAAAGGAATTTGCTGAATTCTAAAGAGCCGTTTTGATCAAAAACTCTGAGTTGGCTGCTAATGAATGTATTAAATATAATAAAATATATAGAAAAATTAGGAGAAACCATAGTCTATGTAGGATAAAGAAAAGATGATAGAGCCACTCTTTAAGCTTAATTACAAGCAGAAAATGATAACTATGCTGCTGAAACTGATTTGTATAATAGAACTGTTTCTGAATACAACAAAGAAATTGATATAAGTAAGTAGGCTTTAGGTTTACTCACTTAACCCAGTTTCGAATAATATGTTAAATCAAAAGTAGGAATTTGATTAATAATTACATTATATCCACAAATTTATTTCCTTTTTTATTTTATATTTATCCAAAAAATTTAAAAATAAATCAATTTGATTTTCATTGAAATTTAAGTGAATCTAACTTATCTTTAGATAAATACTGAATCAATAATATCTTTTATTAAATAAGAATAATTGATTTTAATTTTGCACTTATAATAATAATTTTTATATTAGATTTGTAACTTAATGCAATCAGATCCTTATAATTGGCCTTTTCCAAATAGAAATGATCTAATGAATTTATCTACTATAAGTATAAAATAATCATAAATTGAGAAAATTAAAAAAAAGAGTTTATTTATGATAATCGAGCATAATCCACTATGTCTATAGAAGGCATTGATGGTGCTGCTCCAAAATTAAAGCCATATAAATATATCAATAAAGAATAATTTTGTAATCGAGATGATGATATTCCAGGAACCAAATCTAGACCTTTAATAAGATATACAAATAGATCAGATAATCAATTAATGATTGATGATATTAAGGGAACACGTCCATAAATATGTAAATTTTAGACTAATCGATAACCAATTAATCCACTTGAACCAACTTATAAAATTCCTTCTTTTGAATAGGCTGAACCTTATCAAAATAAATTTATAAGAGATAGCTATAATATCACTGATATTGAAGGAACTTAACCATCTATAATTAATCCAAAATTAAAAAAATAACCTATTCCTTTGCCTGATATTGAAGGTTCACATTCAAAATAATTACATGTTTAAAAAGGTAAAAATCTATCCAAAATTATATATTTAGATGGGATTAATAATCTAGAAGTAAAAGATATAAATAATGATATGCTTCATAAATATATAAGAAATACAAATCCAATTGAACCAGTCTATTCTCACAGAGATGAAGATGGGTATTAAGAATTCTTAATGTAGAAAGAAAATTGAAATTGGTTTTGTTGAAGGTAGTAAAAGTAAATAACTACATCCAATAACAATTAATAAATTTGCATCTTCAATATTAACTACCTAAGATATTGTTGGTGCATAAGCAGGTTCTCATTCTTAAAATTTTTTGAGAAATAATGATAGAAAAGATTACAGACAAATTAATAATATTTAAGATATTGAAGGAGTATAAGCAGGTTCACTCAAAAAAGGAATTGTAAGTAAAAGATATACAAATCCATTAATGCCAGCATATTAAATGCCTGGAAATGCTGAATTAAAGTAATATTATATATAATTTCAGTTCTACATAACCAAAAAGTGTGTTTTCAAAGAATGCTAGTAATTAAATGTTTACAAATGCTTAAAAAATGGATCAATTTTTAACTCTAGGTTGAAAATAGTTTTATGTTATTATCACATAATATATTGTTTTAATAATTTATAATTAAAATATTTATAGAAACTGTTTTATAGTTATATATAGATATTTACAATTCAAATGTTTTCTTTAAACAGTCTGCCTATAGATGTTTGACTGCCTTTAATATCAATATTTTCTTTATATAGTGATGATTTTCTTATTTCGAAACAAGTTGATTCCTATATATAATATATATTTATATTACTTTAATATTCTTTATTTCTAATCCTCTCTTATTGAATGCATCAAATTCTGCTTAAACCATCATTAAATCCTCTTATACTCTGTGATAATCTCTATTCAAAATAACGAACTTTTCTTTCCACATTTCAACTTCATTTTAAAGATAAATAATTTTTTCTTCAAGATTTAATTATTATTTCATATTAGATTAATCTACCATTTATAATTATCTATCTAATTCTACTAATTAAATTTATTTAATTTTAATATCTTCTAATAAAGTATCTAATTTAAATTTAAGTGTATTTTCTGTTTCATTTTTAATTTCTAATTCTTTTTATAAATTTTTCTATTATTATGTATTTTATTCATTTAAATATCTTAATTATGATTCTGCTTCTTGTAAATGAGATATCTAAGCTTAATAAAATGATATTTTCTTTTGTAGTTCTTCGTTTAACTCTTCTTATAATTTTAAGTCAGATTTAAGTTTTACACATTAATTACTTATCTCAAGCATTTTAATTTACTACTATTAAATTTGTTAGTCCTACTCTTTTGATAATAATAATTTATATTCATCATCTAATGTAGATTTTTGATTTAATTATTCTATTTCATCAGATTATTATTTCAATTTTTCTTTTTATATTTTATTTTCATTTTAAAGTCTCTACACTTCTAAACATTGCATTAATAATTATTCTTAAAAATCTTGTTTTTCTTACATAATCTTATCTTCTGTTTATTTAAATAAAGATAAACTCTCCTCTAATTAATTGATTTTACTCTAAGTATCCTTCTCTATTTAGATTACTTAAGTTTATAAAATTGCTTTTTCTTCTAAAACTTCTTATACCTATTTTTGTAAAGAATTCACTAAATCAGAAAACTTTTCAGTCTCATTTTCATTTTACAGTTGTTAATTTTCAATTTATTACTATTTCATTTACACTTCATTCTCTAAAAGGTTTTATGATTTTTCTAATTCTTGAATTTAAGTAGTTAATTAGTTAACAAATTCTAATAATTGATTTTTGTTTTCTATCTCTTTCTTTAAATCATTTAGAGCTGACTTTTCATTAGCTTATCTTAAATTTAATTCTATTTTTAATTCTTCATTAATTATCAAATACTTTTATAACTATATATTATTTTATAAAGCTGTTTATGCAATTTGTTATAAAATTTCAAATTGAAGTAATTCAATTTTATCATTTTTTTCATTCATTTAAGTAGTGAGATTAATGATTTATTCATTTAAAGAATTTATTAAATTTTATCTCTCCCCAACTTCTAATTTAGTATTATATAATTCTGTTTATAAATTCAATATATCTTAATTTCTTTATTAATGTAAATCTACTTAACTTTGTAATTACAATTCTAAATTTTTTGTTTAATTTTCAACCGAAGATAATAGATTAACATTTACCTAATCATTTAACATTACTTATTCATTTAAATGATTATTTTACTCCTATATGTTTGTTAATTATAATTGTAAATCTACAATTATTTTATTTAAATTATCTTTATCATTTTGTAATTCATCTATTTTTTAATCATTTAATTATTGATCCTACATCATTCTTTGTTCCAAAATATCAAGATTATCACTTTAATTACAAATTTATGAATCTTTCTCTTATAATAATAGCTGATTTTTAATATCTTTTTCTTATATTTCTTATTTCAATAAGTGTATCATATTATTTTAAGTAATAAATTGTTATTCATAAGAGTTTATTTTTTCTAATAATATTGATATCTGTTAATTTCTTTCTTCAATTACATTTTCACCTACTTAAAGCTACTTTTCGTAATCTTGAATTCTGTATTCCTGTTATTATAATTAATCATTTTTATCTTGTATTATAAATTTATATCTATCCATTTCTTATGTTAGTGTTTGATAATCTTCTTCTACTTATTGCTTTTATTTGATTTAAGAATGAAGGGATTTAATTTTATCCTCTTAATATTAACATGTAGTTTTGAAATTATTAATTTCAGAATTAAGGTATAAGATTTCTTATTAATGATTCTTTTAGGTTTCTTCAAGTAATTTTCTCATACTCTCAATTTCAATAGCTGTACTCAACCATGTTTATTATTCATTATCATACTTATCTATTTAAAGTCCTAAATCATGAATACGTTAATTTAATCTATTATTATCTTATGTTAATTGTTCTATCAGATTTTCCTTATTTTATTTTAATTAATTTTACATGTCCTTAACATTTCTTATCATTACAAAGAACAACTGTTCTTGTTTCAATAGCTGGTTTATTTGTTAAAGTAGTAATAGTAGCTTTTGGTCTAGTTTGACAGGTTGTAACTTTGGCCAGTCTACTACATGAATCTTAGCGTGTATCTCTAGGAGGTGAACTAACAATGCGAGTTGTAGCAATAGTTTAAGTTTAGAACATTTTAGGAGATTGAGGTCTCATTAGTTTTATTATTATTCGTTAAAATTATTAATAATTTTAATACAGTTAAATGAATCAAGCTCAAATAATTCATTAAGTGTAACAAGTATTTAATAAGCTATCTTAAAATCACTCACAATAAATTAGTAAAGAAACTATTATTAGATTTTTGGATTAATAATCAAATAAAATGTATGACAGAGTTTTATTTGAATAACTTTACTCAAGGATGTAGAAAACTGATAATGGTTTAATTACAATCAATGATTTCATTTCAATTTTGATGGAAGCATTATAATCATTAAAAAATAAAATATCTATTTTAGAATAACAAGTTGCATAAAAATAGCTTAAAGTAGAAGATGACCAATTGTATTTATAGTAATTATAATCTACTGAAGAATATAATTCTCATAAAATATGTAAGGGAAGCAAAATTAGAATTACAATTTTTGATGCTAAAATTTAATTTCCAGGGAATACTAGAGTGGCAATTATTTTAGGTTGTGATGATATTAAATACTCAACCAAACCAGCAAATAGATAAAATCCTATTTGGAATGAAAAATTTGAATTTAATATTAATACAGGAGATGAGGAAATCTATATTGTTATATTAGATGAAGAATTAATAGAAAAACAAGAAATTGGTGGATAAGCAAAACTAAATTTAAAAGAATTTTATGATTAAAAGCCTCATGATATATAATTATAATTAAAGGATAAATATGGTGTTGTTCTATATTCCATACTTAATTTAAGAGTTTAATGGATCCATTCATAAGTACTTATTTATTATTATTTTATAGACTAAATATTTCAAAGAGTCAATCAAAGAAAATCAATAAGTTATTGATGATTTATCTTAAGATATTAATGAATATAAAAGTGATATTCTTTAACTCTTTTATCCATTTGATGAAAAAAATCAAAATCAAACAAATGAAAAATATCTTGTAACTGAATAATCAACAATATAATAAATCCATGATTTTCAATTTTATGATACATCTTAAGCATAACTTTGGGTTAAATTAGCATTGACTTTTACATTGATATACTTCATATTAGTCTTAATTACTAATCTATTTAAGACACAATTTGTAGATGTAAAATACTATTTTAATAATAGTTAATAGTATTATTTTATAGTTTATTCTACTATATGAATAATAATAAGTTATAATCACTCTTACACTTTAAAATAATTTCAGCTATGATTATAATAACAATTATTTTTGATATTGTTTGGTTTGTTATTTACACTAATCCTTGGACAACTAATAGCGTTCTCTTTTTTTAATTAGAACATAATCTCTAAATGTATGAAGTAATTATCTCATACATATTACTTGGCATTAAAGTAATATAGACTTCAATTTTATTTAGGTAATTCTATTAACTATTTATGCTAATTTATATTTAATGTGTCCAGACAAAAGAGTCAATATCTATGATGCTCAATATGAAATGATATTTGGACCTAATTTACAAAGAAGTGTAGAAAATTAGGATTAAGATGCATATAGCTTCAGAAATACAAATCATTATCTGCATTAATCATTTTCTAAAAATATATGAATATATAAGTCTTAAAATTAATAAATATCTATTGAATTAATTCTATCTATATTCCTATCCAACACATATATTCATTTATTTTTTGAAGTATTTAATCTTTATTAATAAATGATTATTAATTATCAAATAAAATAATGTAGAATATTTTTTGTATTTTTTAAATGTAGAATTATTTTTAAATTATAAAGATCAAATTAAACAAAAATTTATCATTATTTTTATCAATAAGCTAAATATGCTTTTACTTTTTGTATTTTTAGGACTTTATAATTGTGTCTAATTTCCATTGACAAAAAGATGTGCTTGTAGTGAATTTGAAGAGAATACTTGCAAGTATCTTTTTTATTGCTCTTGGGATGGGTCTTCTTGCATAGAAATGTAGTGCAAATATTAGTAAGAATTGTTGTGCAGTAAATTAATGTCACGTTATAGTTGTAAATGGAATGAAGTAGCATAAACTTGCGAAGATCATAAATATGAATGCAGTGAATTAACTAAAGATGAATGCTTTATATTCTTGTTTGGAATGGATTGTATGTGGCAAGATAATCAATGCAAGCCACAAGACTGTACAGAGGATGATTATTGTAATCCTTTAAAATGTTCTAAAATTAATTAAAAATGTGGTTAATAAGGACGTGACTTAGACTGTTCATCTTAAACACCCGAAACTTGTTCAAGTTTTGATGGAGAAGGAAACATTTGTAGTTTGAATAATGAGTAAGAATGCTAAGAGTATTATGCTTTTTCATCATCTTGTTCAAGTTATGAGGATAGAATAGTTTAGTGTAATTCAATGTGCCATTATGATATTGAAACATAATCCTGTATTCCAAAAGAGTGTAGTCAAATTACTGAGGAATCAGAATGTAATTATTATTTGCTTGATTTACCATCTTTAGAAATGATTCCATGTATTTGGAGAAATGGTAAATGCAATGAAGTTACTGAAGAAGATTTTCAAACTTTTAATTAATACGAATGTGTTGCACATGGATTGGTTTTTTCTTCTTGGTAATCTTCTACTTCTACATGTAAATTATGTACTTCATTCGTTCATAATCCAGAATATGAATTCTATGAATTATAAATGAATGGTATTGAAATTTTAAAATGGGCTTTGGTGTATATTGCTCTTTAAATATGACATGATTTTATAATAAAACCAATACACATATAATATTATATTTTAGTAGACTCTATTATTATTTATAATTCAAAAATTTCATTATAAATAATATGTAATTAATTAAGTTTATAATTTAATTATCTACATATTTTGAATAATAATATTCAATAACTTAGAGATTGTAAGTATACACATGACAAAGTTATTAATATTTAAAGTATAGATATAATTGATTAAGAAATAATTGAGATTTGTTAAATATTTAAAAAAATAGATATTTATATTTGATTGAATGAGCAGAAAAGAATAAGACATTAAGAGATTGATTGCTTCATAAGTAAGAATATCAAATATTTCAATTCTTTCCTTTCTTAGTATTTTTTATGATAATAAATAATAATCTTATATTCATACTTTTTAATTGAAAATTGATTTCAGAATTTATAAGAAGTAGAGTATTTATAAAGATGAATTTTTTCAAACAAAAATTATTATAGATGAATAGACATATTTTACTCTTACTTTTTTTATTTGTGGCCCTTGATAATTGTGTCAAATTCCCAATTAAATAAAGATGCCAATGTAGCGAATATGATACCCTATTTTGTCCTGGTCCACCTTTTTGCTCTATAAATGGATCCAATTGTGAAGAATTTCAGTGCAAATATACAAATGAACTATATTGTACTCCATTTGATACCTTAAATCGTTGTAAATGGAATCAAAGTACAAATTCTTGTGAAAATTATACCTATCAATGTACTGAATTGACAACTTATCAATCATGCCTTGGACAATTTATAGGAGTATATTAAGAAATAGAATGTATGTGGTAAGATAATTAATGCAAGCCACAAGACTGTACTTAGATCAATAATTGCGATTCTTTAAGCTGCTCTATGTCTACATAAGGATGCGGCAAAAAAATAGAAAATTTAGACTGTTCATCTTATACCCCTGAAACTTGTTATATTACAGATGGATACGGAAACAGCTGTCATATAGATAAGGACTTAAAATGCAAGAAATATAGTGCCCTTCCAATTTGTTCAGAATTAGAAGAATAGATGCCTGATAAATAATCTGCAATTTCTTTTTGTAATGGATTTTGCTATTATGATATTAATTCATAATAGTGTATACCAAAAGAGTGCAGCTAGATCACTTAAGAATCAGAATGTACTAATTATATCTACGATATTCCAAATGAGTTATTCATACCATGTATTTGGTCGAATAGTAAATGCAATGAAGTCAGTGAGAAAGATTTTGAAACTTTTGATCTTCATAAGTGTTTTTAATTTGGAATGACTCATTATACATGGTAACCTTCTACCTCAAAATGTAAATAATGTAGTCTTGTGGATAGATTTAAATAAAACCCATCAGAAAACCCAAATAGTGATTCCAAAGATTAAAATAATGGAATTTCAATATTATAATGGGCTTTGATGTGGATTGCAACTCAAATATGAAATTAAATAATGTAATCATAAAATATATAAACAAATTATATTTCTAATTATTTTTATTTCTTCATTTTTATATGATTATTAAAATTTAAACAAATAACATATCCCCAATTAATTAATTAAGTTCATTTTTACATTCTTAACAAAATGTGTTAATAATNTATCAAATATTTCAATTCTTTCCTTTCTTAGTATTTTTTATGATAATAAATAATAATCTTATATTCATACTTTTTAATTGAAAATTGATTTCAGAATTTATAAGAAGTAGAGTATTTATAAAGATGAATTTTTTCAAACAAAAATTATTATAGATGAATAGACATATTTTACTCTTACTTTTTTTATTTGTGGCCCTTGATAATTGTGTCAAATTCCCAATTAAATAAAGATGCCAATGTAGCGAATATGATACCCTATTTTGTCCTGGTCCACCTTTTTGCTCTATAAATGGATCCAATTGTGAAGAATTTCAGTGCAAATATACAAATGAACTATATTGTACTCCATTTGATACCTTAAATCGTTGTAAATGGAATCAAAGTACAAATTCTTGTGAAAATTATACCTATCAATGTACTGAATTGACAACTTATCAATCATGCCTTGGACAATTTATAGGAGTATATTAAGAAATAGAATGTATGTGGTAAGATAATTAATGCAAGCCACAAGACTGTACTTAGATCAATAATTGCGATTCTTTAAGCTGCTCTATGTCTACATAAGGATGCGGCAAAAAAATAGAAAATTTAGACTGTTCATCTTATACCCCTGAAACTTGTTATATTACAGATGGATACGGAAACAGCTGTCATATAGATAAGGACTTAAAATGCAAGAAATATAGTGCCCTTCCAATTTGTTCAGAATTAGAAGAATAGATGCCTGATAAATAATCTGCAATTTCTTTTTGTAATGGATTTTGCTATTATGATATTAATTCATAATAGTGTATACCAAAAGAGTGCAGCTAGATCACTTAAGAATCAGAATGTACTAATTATATCTACGATATTCCAAATGAGTTATTCATACCATGTATTTGGTCGAATAGTAAATGCAATGAAGTCAGTGAGAAAGATTTTGAAACTTTTGATCTTCATAAGTGTTTTTAATTTGGAATGACTCATTATACATGGTAACCTTCTACCTCAAAATGTAAATAATGTAGTCTTGTGGATAGATTTAAATAAAACCCATCAGAAAACCCAAATAGTGATTCCAAAGATTAAAATAATGGAATTTCAATATTATAATGGGCTTTGATGTGGATTGCAACTCAAATATGAAATTAAATAATGTAATCATAAAATATATAAACAAATTATATTTCTAATTATTTTTATTTCTTCATTTTTATATGATTATTAAAATTTAAACAAATAACATATCCCCAATTAATTAATTAAGTTCATTTTTACATTCTTAACAAAATGTGTTAATAATAATAATAAGAAAAAAATGAAAAAAAATTATATATTAAATTTAAATTTGTTTAAATTATTTTAAGAAAGGTATTAGTTGTTTGTTTTGTTATGATTTGTATGTAGCATTTTAATTCTAAAGGATTATGAATAAGTATTTAGATGAACAAAAACTATGTTAGATATAATTGATTAAGAAATAATTGAGATTTGTTAAATATTTAAAAAAATAGATATTTATATTTGATTGAATGAGCAGAAAAGAATAAGACATTAAGAGATTGATTGCTTCATAAGTAAGAATATTATATATATGATTCCTTTTAGTGCCACATTGGAACAAAACAACTCCAATTTGATATGAAGAGATATGTTTCACATAGAAGTGATAATGGTGCTTATATCCTCAATTTAGAAGAAACCTGGTAGCATATTAAATTAGCTGCTAGAGTTATTGCTGCAGTTGATTAACCTCAAGATGTCATGGTATTATAAATAATGAGTATTTAAGGTTGTTTCATCAAGACCAATTGGATAAAGAGCAGTCATTAAATTTGCTCACTATACTCATGCTAGCTCAACTAGATCATCAAGATGGACACCAGGTACATTGACAAATCAATCTAACAGTGCCAGTGGAAAATTCCAAGAACCATAATTATTGATTGTCACAGATCCACATTTGGTATATATATTTGAATTAAGATTTTCTTAGGATAAATAAGCCATTGTTGAAGCATCTTACGTTAATATTCCAGTTATTGCTTTATGCAATTCAGATAACCTTTTGTAATATGTCGATATCCCAATTCCAGTTGGAAATAGAGAAACAAAATCAATTTCAATGATCTATTGGTTGTTAGCCAGAGAAGTCAAGATCTTAAGAGGAGAATTGAGACAAGGTATTAAAATAAGCCATAATAATAGATGAAGAATGGGATGTTTTGGTTGATTTATTCTATCATAAGGAAATTACCAATGATTAATTAGGAGTTTCAGATAACTAAGTTAAATAAGAAGGTGATGGAGAAGAATAGGAACAATAAGTTGATGCAGAGAAAGCTGATAAAGACTGGTGATAAAATATATTATAATTATGTAAAGTACATGTATGTCAATTGGTTTATTTTATATATAAATTATATTTAATAATTTTAATAATGAGCAATGCATTTAAGTCTGCTGCAGGAAACACATTGTCCAAAAATGATATGGGCTAAACTGGATAAAGTTTTGCAGGATCACAAAACCCAGCATCTTTAAAGGGCAAACTTATGAGTTTAGAGGTAAATTGATATATCAAATTAAAGGAAACAATAAAAGGAATTTAAGATGAAATGAATTTCCATAAAAAGGAAGTCCAAATTCTCAAATCAGAAAAGGATACTTTAGAGTCTGTTTTGAGTATGAAAACATAAGATGTCAAAAAAACACTTACTAATGAACTCATGAGAATAGAAGAGGAAATGAAAAGGTATTCTGTTTTAATATCAACTTTAGACATTTTGCTCATTAAAAGGCTGAGAATTCAAGATTACAGCAACAAATTACTGCTTTGAAAGGTGAAAAGACTGCACTTTAATAATAATTACTTGGTCTCCAAAGAAGAATAGCTGAATTAGAATTATAAGTAGGTTAAGAATAAGGTTGAATATTATGAAGTATTATAATATATTATTATATAACAAACTTTGATATTATTTAAATCACATTTATTAATAATATGTGAATCCAACAAAATTTTCATTTTATTTAGATTCTGGAGTGTCAACTATAGGTTATTACAGAAAAGCTGTATCGAAATTAGATAAATCCTAAACATTTTAAATATATGGAATGATAGGTGGTTACAATTTTCGTTGTTCAACCAATTACCAATTAATTCCATTAAAAAAGTTATGTTTTTTTATTTCTTTGATTCCATGTGACCCTAATCTCAATCCTGGCTACTCATAGACTTTTAGTTAATACATCTTTGGTTAATAAGCCTTTTAATAAAGACGCTGCATAAAATGAAAAACAAGATTTCATTTCAAGAGGTTTTTCACATCTATTTTATAACATCTCTTTTTTATTTTTTGAATAATGAGGAGGAATACCACAAAGCATTTCATAAATCAAAGCTCCATAACTGTAAAAATCAACAGCAAATGTGTGCCCCTTTTCTATGTAAAGTTAATTTAATATTTACTATATAGAATTTCTGGGGCTACATATTCAGGTGTTCCACAAAATGTATAAGTCAATTCGTTTTTCTCAAATCCCAATTTTGATAACCCAAAATCTGTTAGAACTATATGACCACTTTTGTCCAATAAAATATTTTCTGGTTTTAAATCTCTATAAATGATATTTGATGAATGAAGTAAATCAATAGCAACTAAAAGCTCAGCAGCATAAAATTAAACCCATTCTTCAGGGAATTTAGAATTTTTTCTGAGATGAAGAAAGAGTTCTCCTCCTTACATAAAGTCCATAACCATATATAAACGTGAAGGACTTTAGAAAGCATAATGCAACTTCACCATAAAAGGACTATTTATCAATGACAAGATTTTCCTTTCCTAAATTGCTTGATCATGAAATTTCTTCATAGATAACATTTTTTTTTTCAAAATTTTTACTGCAAATAGTTATTGATCATTAATCTTTTTAACTAGTAATACTTTTCCAAATGATCCTCTCCCAATAACCTTAATTAATTCAAAATCCTATAATGATAATTTTTAATTGGAAGTAAGAGTCTCACCTTCTATGGATAATTGTGTAGCTTCTCCAATTTTATCATCTTCAACTTCTTCTTCTGGAACATCACATTTAAAATTTGGTTGTTTTTATGTGTATTATGATTCCTTATTTTAACACATACCCATTATTAAATATATTTATAATATTAAAAATATAAGTTTTATCTAATTCTTTTTCACTATGATTTCTTAAATATTTCATGTTAAAAATATGTTAGATGATGTAATGAAGATAATATAATTTTATTTATAATTATTAATTATATATCTCTTGAAATTTATATGTTAATTTTTTTCATTGTTTATCCACTTATCTCTTTAATATTTATTAATTTTTATATTTAATCACTTTCAAAACTACAAATGAATCAAGATCCAGATGAAAAGGATATGATAGGAGATCTTTTAGATGGTATCTTAATTCTCTCCAAATTTTAGACAGTTTTGAAAATGTTGGCAAGATCAAAAAAACATATTCTTCAAATAGACCTCCTGCACTCCAAATTAATTAGAATTACAATCAATCTCCAATCTATTACCCTAAAGTATATTCACCTCAAGTGCAGCAAAAACAAAAGTTTTTAATCTTAATTAGTTAAGTTCTTATGATTTAGATTTACGTCTCACTAAAGTCCCTGTCTAATAAAGTGCTCCAAATTCAGCATCAAAACTAAAATCCTTTGATAATACAGTACAATTTAATACAGTTGATGAAACTTCCTTAGATGGAGATTTAGTATCTAATTTCACTTCTATTAAAGATATCTAAATGTAAAGATTAAAATGGGGCTAGATGCATTCAAAAAGCCTTTTAAGAAAGTTCTCAAGCTATTAAAGAATAAATCTTTAATAAGCTTGAAAAAGGGCTATTATCTCTCTCAAAAGATGTGTTTGGAAATTATGTCATCTAAAATCTTCTTGAATTTGGTAATATTTTTGATAATAATAGGAACTCCACTCCAATAATAAAAAATACTGATCTTTTTATAACCACACTCTTCATAATTAGCATTTCATCCATATGGATGTAGGGTGTTACAAAAATTACTACAAAATGCCCACAATACACCAGATTTTCCAAATTTATTTGATACTTTTAAAACAAGAGTTAGAGAGTTAGTAATTGATTAACATGGAAATCATGTTGTTTAGAAACTAATCTAATTAATGGATAGTGATATTAGTTTATGGGTATTAGATGGGATTGAAGGATAAGTTAATAAACTTGTGATTAATTCTTTTGGTTGTAGAATAATTTAAAAAGCTGTCTCAATTTCTAGTAATCATCCAGAAAGATAAATGAAAATTTTAATTGAAATAATGAATTTAGCTTATGAACTTTGTATTTCTTAATATGGAAATTACATAATTCAATAGTTATTAAAGGATGGACCATTTATAATCAAAAATTAAATTTAATAAATCATTATGGAAAAATTAGAAGAATATAGTTTAAATAAATTTGGAAGGTAATTTAATTAAATTAATTTTAGTAATGTTGTTGATTGTGCTATCAAATGCTCTAATAATTAATTTAAATTAAAAATTATGGAACTATTACTAAATTAAAACAATTAATAAGTTTTATTTGTCCGCTTATCTACTAATGCCTATGGAAATTATGTTGTACAAAATTTTTTGAAATTTGCAGATTAAGAAATCCAAAAAGAATTATATTATAAAATTACTAATAACTAATAACTATTATAAGAAATATAATAATATAAATTTGGTAATTTTTTAATTTATATCTTTCAAGGTCAGTTCGTTTACTAAATGTTAACTTAGAAATTAGAACTAGAAACATTTAATTTATGATCTGTGTTAATGATTTGTTTATATATGTATTTTGTAATATTTTTTTATAAATTACTAAAGCTATATTTTATAATTAAATATGTAAAAAACACAACCAGTTAGTCGAGACTCTCAAATTTTTGAAACTTTAAATTATAAAGATGGTAAAATTTTTACTATATTTATAGATTCTATTCAAGATCTAGAATTTTTTGGTCCTTGGCATAAATAAAACAATTCAATATAATATCAAATTGCATAGATTAAAAAGGCACATACTTCCTCAACTAATCAAATGGCAAATGAAATAGTTGAAAGACCAGAAACCTAAAATTCTTAAGTAAGGATGATAAATACTTCTTTTCCTTATAAAAGGAGAATAACAAGAAAAATCTCAATAGATTAATCTAATTAATTTATTGAAAAACCTAAATATGATGAATCTCGTTAAGTAGAAAGAATTATTTAAGAGTTCTTTACTGATGAAAATAAAGAAAAGAAGAAAAAATAAAGAAATCATGGTTTTTTTTTCCCAAAAGCTTCAAAATCTAATAGTAACACAAAATGTAATGGTTCATCTTTTTAAACAACTTAAGTATATTTTGATGTAATTTTCTTCTTTAAACTAAGAGAAAATAGCTTTAAAAATGCTGAAATTTATGCCAAATTTATAGAAATAGCCATCAAAGTCTTCAAAACCTATAAAAAATTTAAATACAAAATAAAAACTGATTCTTGATTTACCAATAACTACAAAAAGCTATTTCCCTCCTTAATTATTAATTAATTCCACAAAAACTAAATAAGTAAGTCCTTAAAATTTGAATTCTTCTCAAAATAAAAACTAGATCAAAACTTAAAATTTTCTTACAAAAACAGGTAAGGGTCCAGTCTGGAAAATAAATAATTACACTAGTATATGATTAAACAATATTTTGAAAATAAAAAACAATAATATTAATTTCTAATATTAACTCAAAATTTAAACATATTTATCTATATTATGCAATAATTTTATTTATTTTAACTCAATAGGATCTAAAATTTTTATCTATTTTGATGCATGCATCCTCTAATAATTTTAATAAAGCTTCCGTTGTAGCTTCTCTTTCTCTTCTTTCAAAATTTATATCTTATTATAATTTTCCATGAACATCCTCTATCATTCTAAAGATTTTCCCTTAAGTTTCTTCTCTAACTTTCTTTTCAATTAGCAATTAATCTGAAAATTTATTAATTTCTGAATCAATTTATTCAGATAAAGATTCTGATGATTCTTCTCTATAAGAAATAATAAAAAAATACCTTGATCTCCTTTCTTAATCTAATTAGTTTTTTACTAATTGAACTTATTGCAATACCTCTGCAATTTTAACTTAACTTCTATCTTCATATTAATGTGTATTTCTTGTAATTGTAAGTGTTATTTATTAGAATCTTTCATCAATTTGTTTTTATAGTTTTGTTTCAGCTTGTCCTCTGCTATTTCTTTCTTGATCAAAAGATAGAGCAACATTATCAGAGAGAGTTCTAAAATCTTTTTCTTTTTTGTCATCAAAAGCCTAATTAAATTTAAATATATACTTCTCTTTCTGATTTTTCATTGTGAGCTTAATCTTGAAGTTTTAATACTTGATCCTTAAGGACTTTAAATCTTTATTCGTCTTTGGGTTTCTCTGATGAAAGAACATCTTCTATTATTTTAATTCTTTCTTCAAGAACTTCTCTCTTTTCTAATTTATCCTTATCTATTCCATTTTGGATATGATTCCATTTATCAGATAATAACTTAATTCTTTGTCTAGATGGAGAATCGAGATCTTGTTAAAGATAGTTAACAGTAGATCTTTAAGGACTCTATAATAGGGACTTTCCTAGTTTTGAAGAAGTCAACTTAGATGTAGATAAAAGCATCTTGCTTTTTTGATTTTTAGAAATAAATTTATTTACGATTTAATCAAACCTTTTAAATAACTAGTAAAACGATGCAATAAATAGATAAGAGATTGAGCTAAGCATTTCCACCAAACTCTAAAAATAACTCTAGTTATATAGCTGAGATACACAGTGTATTAGCAAATGTTAAAATAGATGACATAGGATTTAAAGATATTAAATTTAGAACAGTGCAAACCAAGAGAGATATAGCATAGCTTAAATTACTTTAGAAAGAGTGGTTCCCAATTAATTATACTGAACAATTTTATACAGCTGTTTTGAATGGCTATGTTTCTTCTCTTTTAGCAGAGATTGAAATAAAATTTCCTTCAGGACGAAAGGAGAAATACATAATTGGAGTTATGGTTTATTAATCAAGATAGAGTAAATCGAAATATCAATAGAATTTAAACTGGAAATAATGGTTTTGTTCATTCTTTTAATAAAAAAATGCTTTATATATTATGACAATAGGTGTTATTAATGAGTTTAGAGGAAGAGGAATCGCAGAATATATGATAGAATAGTTAAAAAAGAGAGTCTTAGAATCCAATAAATCACTTTTATACATATATTTAGACATGGTTGTTTATAATGAGGTGGCAGCTCGATTTTATCAAAAAAATGGTTTCAATAGAGTTGGAATTAAGAAAAATCATTACTCTATAGAAGATCAATAATTTGATGCTTATGTATATGTCTGGTAACCTTAATGAATAAATATATAATTGTTTAAAAATTATAATAAATAAAAAGAAATTTAAATTAAAAAAAATCAGATTTTTGTACAAAATAGAATAAATTAGAAATTTTAAATTACTTTAAAGAATTAAACTAATAGATTGAATTAATTAGATTCTAAAACAATTAAGTTATTTTTACTCTATTCATTTAATAAGAAATAGAAACATAGATTAAAAAATCTAATTTGCACAAAATAATTATCTCAAAGATTAAGGATAGGATATATTGTATTTTAAATAATTTTCTTTGACAAAAAAGCATTGAGAATTTTTATGCAATGATTGATCATTGTATTTTTAATAAGTATATAAATTCTGATCATTATAATGGAAATAATAAGGAGTACCTCTTTTAAAAACTTGTTAATAATTGTAAAATCTAAAAAAATGCTATTTCAATTTGATGTCAGAATTAAAAAAAAAATCATAATTACAATATATAAAATTATTAATAGTTAATCACATGTTTTGATATAAGTTGGTTATGTAATTTTCATATTAGTTTTACTAAATATTATTTTTATTTGCTGTATCATATAAAGCAATGATTAATGCTTGTTACACTGATTGTTTTTTTGGAAATTTTTTTTTTAAGCAAGCAGCAATTTTAAAGAATTAATTTTTTTTCTCTGCTTCTGTTTTATGAAACATTGTTGAAGATATTTACATAGATTCCTCCATTCTTGGTGTTAAATTTCCTATTTTGCTTTTTTCAACAAAACTTGTTTCAGTAATTGGAGAAAGTGACTATCTATTTACTTATTTGAATCTTGATTAAAAATCATCTTTTAATGATTAATGAATATTGTTTTAAACATTTTCAAAAGGATTACGATATCTATTTAGTTAATTTTCATGAACTTAAAGCTTCTTTTACAATCCTCCTTCATTAGCTAATGATGTAGCTATTGATTCTTTAAGATGATTAATCACATTATTTTAATTGCTCTATAAAATTCTAGCTTTTCTTTCTGAAAATTGCATTATTTTACTGATTATAGTTAATATTTATTGGATGACTTATTCAACAGCAATATCTTGTTATTAATTTTCAAAGTATTATTAAAATAAATCTAAATCATCTAAGGATTGTGAAACTATATTATAATCTGAAGCTAAGATTATGTTACTACAGCATTTCCATAACATTTATAAATATTAAATGATATACTATTAATCAGATGAATAGGTTTTTAGCATCTTTTTGATTTTATTTATAAGAAAATTACATTTTTATAATTTAGCTTGCAAAGAATCTACTTATTCATATTAATCATATTCTCCATTACAATTTTGTGTATGAATATTAATTTATTCAGTTGGTACATAACTTTCACAACTCATACAAAAAACATCTTAAATTTAATTAAGTATTTCTTCAAAATTGAAATATTACTCATTCGATTTATTTCCATATTTTCTTACTAAATATTAATGTGTTGTAGTTCTATTTATTGTCTTTTCAAAAGATGAACCTGTATATACATTCATTCCGTTAATTAATTAATTGATAAATATTATTAAATAGTATGAAAATCTAAGTTTAAACTCCTGTAGTAGAATTAGATGGAGATGAAATGACTAGAGTAATTAATTATAATAATTTAGATCATTTGGTAACAAATCAAAAAGTATTTGATCTTTCCATTCTTGGATTTGAAAATTGATTATTATGATCTTGGAATGGAAAATAGAGACAAGACAGATGATAAAGTTACTATTGATGCTGCTAATGCAATTAAAAAATATAAGGTTGGAATTAAATGTGCCACTATGTAAAATCTTAAATATTTTATTTTAGTACACCAGATGAAGCTAGAGTCAAAGAATTCAAGTTAAAATAAATGTGGAAATCTCCAAATGGAACAATAAGAAATATACTTAATGGAACAGTGTTTAGAGAACCTATTATTATTAAGAATATCCCTAAATTAGTGCCAGGTTGGAAAGAACCAATAATTATTGGAAGACATGCATTTGGAGATTAATATAGAGCTACAGATTTTTTAATAAGTGAGCCAGGTAAATTAGAGATGGTATTCACAAATAAACAAGGAAAAGTCACAAAATACCCTGTATATGATTTTGAAGGAAAGGGAATTTCAATGGGTATGTATAATACTGATGAATCTATAATTGATTTTGCACATTCATGTTTCAAATATGCAATTGATCGTAATTATCCTTTATATTTATCAACTAAAAATACTATTTTAAAGAAATATGATGGAAGATTTAAAGATATCTTTTAAGAAATTTATGATAAATATTATAAATAAACATTTGAATAAAAGAAATTATGGTATGAACATAGATTAATTGATGATATGGTTGCATATATGATTAAAAGTGAAGGTGGTTTTGTTTGGGCATGTAAGAATTATGATGGAGATGTCTAATCAGATGTAGTAGCTTAAGGATATGGTTCATTGGGATTGATGACTAGTGTTTTAGTTAGTCCAGATGGATCAGTAGAAGCAGAAGCTGCTCATGGAACTGTTACTAGACATTATAGAATGCATCAATAAGGAAAAGAAACATCAACTAATTCTATTGCAAGTATTTTTGCATGGACAAGAGGTCTATTACATAGAGCAAAATTAGATAATAATAAAGAATTACATAAGTTTTGTACAACTTTGGAATAAAGTGTCATATAGACAGTAGAAAATGGAATAATGACAAAGGATTTAGCCATTATTGTACATAATGATAATAAGTAAACTATTTAAATAATAATTTAGTGTATTAAGAAATAAATATGTAAATACAGAGGAATTCATAGTTAAGGTTGGAGAATAGTTGAAGAAAAATTTAGGTATCAAAGCAAATTTATGAGAGTATTTATAAATCAATATATAATTAAATTAAAAAATGGTCAGGTTTAAGAATCGATACTTTTTATGTGAATATATTCAAGAGAATCAAGAGAAGGAATTTTCAGAGAGAGATTTATTAAATGAGATTAGAGATCAAGTATAATACCATTTTGGAGATTTTGGGTCTGCCAAAATTCAATTTTCATTTTAAGGTAAGAATTAAATAAATTAAATAGTAAAATATTTGAATTCTGTTTCAAGATTGTTTATTTTGAGAGTGAATAGGGATTATAAAAGTATAATATGGTCAACTCTTATATTTATGAATATGTTTAAAGGAGTTCCAATAAAAATTAGAATATTAGGTTGTTCAGGTACAATTAAAAAGTGTGAAATCAAAGCTAGAAGATTACTCACAAAATGGGTACATAAAATATTAAAATGTGATATGCCAAATTAATTGAGAAATACTATAATTAGAGATTATCAATAAACATAATAAATTCTTCCTTAAATAACCTAATGATTTGTCAATCTATAAAAAGTGTATAATAATCTAAAGAAATTGTTATGATATGTTAATTACTCATTAAACAAAATCAAAATATAATATTTATTGTTCTAATATATAAATAATACGCTATATAAAATTTTATGTCAAAGTGTAAATCATTTATCAAATCTATTCTAAAAATAAACATTTAATGTAAAAATCAATAGCTTTATGTGCAGCTTGGGTTTGTGGCTATATGATTAACTCATCTCAACCTTACCTTAAGATGTTACAGAATTCTAATTAAGATGATGAATCTCATAGTTTTCAAGAATTTATTTAAAAGTAGAACTACTCTTAACCAAAAATAATTGATTTACTTCACAATTCTCCAGATAGACACTTTCTTCATAATATGATTATTTAGAATGAAAAAGCATTCAATTTATTTAAAGTTTACTTACCAAAGGATGTAGATATTCAAAGTTCTGACAATAATCATCATCTTCATATTGTATTTAATGCTGCAGATGAAGTTAGAGGAAATAATAATGATGTACATAGTGGATTATTGGCAACTCTTATAGATAATGCATTTGGATAATTAAGCTTTTTGACAACTGGATTCATCCCTACAGCGACTGCTAACCTCCAATTAAATTTCAATTAAACTATTCATACAAATAAAGATTATTTAATAAGTTGTGAGGTTGAAAAGGTTCAAGGAAGGAAAGTATTCTTAAAAGCAAAAGTTTATGATAATCAAAATAATATTTGTGGTGAGGCGACTGCTTTATTTATTACAGTAAATTGGGGAGGAAAACAATGGAAACAAGTAATCGATACTCTTCAAAATACTAAATTTTTTAATGAAGGAATTCAGAGAATTCTATATTGATAGTTTTAATTTGTTTATTGTTTATATAAAGTAGTATTTCATCTAATCATTTAAGGCAATAAGATAGTATTTATTGGTTAAGCTGCTTCTTTTTTTGGGAATGCATTCCAAAATCTAAGGGTTTCATCACCAGCACCAGTAACAATAGTTTCTCCATCTGGTGACATAGCTAAAAATAGAACTCTTGAAGTATGTCCCATAAGAGTAGTGACCTATAATTAATATAATGAAATACCTTCTATAAAGTAGGATATTTCCAACAGACTATCTAATTCATACTATAACCATGAGTGGAGACAAATTCATTGACATTTTTACTGAACATCAAATTACAGACTTATGAACCAGTGTCTATCCAATCTAATTATTAAGTGGTCAAGGTATTAAAGAATCGAATAGTTCTATCTGCAGTACCACCACCAGATGATAATAAACCATGTCTATGAGGTGACCAAGCTATAGCTTTAACAGCTGCTTGATGTTGACTAAATTTAGCTAATGGAATCTATGAACCAATTCTCCAAACAAATAATTTATTATCATTTCCACCTGAGGCTAATTATTATTCATCTGGTGACCATTTTAAACCACAAACTTCTTATTTATGTCCTTCAAATTTACCAGTCTATTTTTTCTATCTTGGATCATGTAATATTATTGATCTATCTTTAGAACCAGAACAAAGAGTCTAAAATCTATATTAAATATATACATGACCACTCCATGCTAATGATCCCACTCTTGCTGAATGTCCTTCTATTATCTACATCCTCTTCATCTTTTCCTAATCATATATGTGAATCTCTCCAGAATTAGTACCGATTGCTAATTGATTACCCATTGGATTCCAAATCAATGAACAGACTACATCATTATTACCAAAATCACAAAATTTAGTCACTCTATTATTATAGGCAGACCACAAATAGACACATGATTATAAAGCTACTGATAAGACATTTTATGAACTCCAATCTATCAAATTCAAATAAAAATCATCTTATAATTGAGGAGCATCCAAAACTTTAAATGGTACCTTATTTATTTTTCTATGACTATATTGATAATCCTAATTATTTTGAAACTATTCTCTATATTCGATCAAATTATTATAAGTTTCCAATACTGAAGGATTGATATCTTATAGAATATTTCTTTTTTAAGGAGTATTATCATTAAATCTGAAGATATTTTTTGATTCCCAATGTAATTATTCATTCTATAAAGGTTGTCCAAAAACATGCATCTTATAGATATCCTTTAGAGAAACATTTCCTTAATCTTTATAATCACTTCCTTTTTAAGGCTCTTAGTTTTCATCTTCCATTTCTAGATATTAAAATTCCTCTATTAAAGTTTATTTTTATCCACTCCTTAAGGGAATATATCTACAAGTTTTTCCTTGCTAAATTTACTTATTTGGAGTACTATCTTATTCTATCTCAATTTAGTCTTATGAAAAATTATAAATTATAAATACCTCCTTATTAAGAACTTTGTATTTCTACTTTATGTAACATTTTAATAAGATCACTCATATCACAAGTCTTTGCCTTAATATGATGTGAATTTTCTTTGTTTTATTTCGAAGGGGATATTTATAATTTATCTTCGAAACATGAGACTTCTACATCTAAATTACGTTATTGTAACATTTTGATTGTATTCGTTGACATTTTAAGTATAAAAAGAGATTTGCAAACAGATATTAAATTAATTTACGTTAAATTTTATTTATAAACACATTTATAAAGGCAAAATATAATAATTAGTATTGATATAATATCATATTAATAATATTGTATAATCTTCAGACTTAGGATTCCTAAAAAGAAAAGTATAAAAAAAAAAAATTAATCATTTTAAAAAGAAATTTGCAATCATTTTAACTTATATTTTCGTAATAATTAACTGGATTGCTATAATACTGATTGTTTTCCCCAATCTCTTAAGTTATTTTTAACAATTGAATTACTAATATCGAGTGGTACTCCTTAAAATTTCCTAAAGCTTAATTGGGATGTTTGGTCTTCTTCTTATTTTATTTCTATACAATAAACTTATGAGATACTTGGAAAATAAAATGATTTATTTGTATTATCTACTATAGTAACATTTTCAGTCATTGTATTATTAATATTTATCTAATTAGTATCTGATAAATTAAAATTTTTCTTTGTCAAATATTGTTATGTTTACATTAACAACATATTCATTATTGTTATTTTTTAATTTTATGTCCAATCATTTATATTCTTTTCTCGTCTAAAAAATAATAAAAATTTATTATTTACAATTCCTATAGATCAATAACTTCACTAATTTCTTCATTTGAATTATTCTTTAAATATTCTAAATTACTTGCTAAAATAATTGATAAATTAGAAAATTTATTCTCCTCCAATCTTATTGTATCTAATTTTGTAAGTAAATGATTATTCTCATTTCTCAATATTTCATTATCATTTTATAATTATGCTATTTTCTTTTCTAATTAAATAATCTCTGTTTCTTTCATCTTCTCCATTTCTTAAAGAGTCTATTAAGGATTTAATTCCTACTGTTCTATATTTTATTATTCTAATTAATCTTCTAAATCCTTTATCCTTGCTGTTAATTTCTTAATTAATTTCTATGAAAAATGAGATCTCTTTGCTAATTCTTATTCAACTTATTTATGTATTTCTATATCTCTCTTTAAACTTGTTACTTACTCTTATAATTTTGAATCTTTTCCCAATAATTTTGCTGTCTATTTTGATTGATAATCTAATTCTGTAGTCATTTAATAATTTTATAAAACTGTTAATCTAGTTGTTGTCTCTAATTATTCTTTTTATTATGCCCTTTCTGATAACTTAGTTTCCTAAACTTTAGTTTCCATTTCTTTCCTTAATTGATCTATTCAATACATAATAATTTCTTTACTTGTTTCCTTTACTTTTTCTTTCTCCTTATCTGCCAATTCCCTCTATTTATCTTTCCTTTCTTATGCTAATGTTTCTATCAGTTTTTCTCTTTCACTTTCTAAATCTGCCTTTGTTTAAAGAAAACCATCAATTTTTTCTAATCTGGCTTCCAAAAACTTTATTTTATCAAGTAATGGTTATTTATCTGCCTCAAAGAGTTGTCTTTATTTATCCATCATTTTTTCTAGTTGAATGAATACTTCATCTTACTATAATCTTCATCTATATCAAACATTTTCCTTTGTAATACCCCAAACTCGTACTCTATTTTTTATTTTTCTTCTCTTAACTCCTCTTTTTCTTTTTTATGAAATTCAATCAAATCTATAAATTCTTTTTTTTCATCAGTTAAATTCCTTTTCATCATTAAATTCTCAATCCCAAATTTATCTCTTTCCTATTCCCTAATAACCTATTGCAACAATTATTACATTCTATCAAGACGATCCTTCATATTTTTATGAGTCGATATTGCTTTCATTCTATCTCTTCTTTATGCATCCAATTCCTATGCTAATACATCCTAACTTTGATTTAATCCTTTATTTGACTTAGACATTATTGTAAATAATTAATATTTATATACAAAAATAAAAATAAAAAAACTACAATTATTTATCAATAATTAAATATATATCCTAACAATAAACCCCTATGATTAAATTTTTATTATATTTTAAACATTCTGAATCATTAAACTTATTAATTATTTCTAAAATTAAACTAAAATTTGAAAAAAAAATTTCAATTCAAAAAAAATTAAATAAGATTCTCTTTCTTATAACATTTAGAGAATAGAAAATCAATCAAAAATGGATTTCTTATATTTATTTTCAGCAAATATGATTATTAAGTTTTATAACATGAATTTTATCTTGAAATAAAATTGAACAAAAATAAATAAATAATTATTGAATGATCAAAGGAACACAAACACCTATAAATAAGGAGGAATTAAAAAAATTAAATCAAATTTTAGAATAACTTATAGATTCAAATGATAGTTTAGAATTTCGATCACCTGTTGACCATAAAACTCTTGGTTTACATGATTATTTGATTGTAATAAAAAAACCTATGGATTTGGGTACGTGTTCAAAAAAATTATAAAATTCAGAATACAAATATGTAGAAGAATGCTTAGATGATATTTAATAAATATGGGATAATTGCAAGTTGTATAATGGCCCTTCTAGTGTAATTATCCATTTTATTCTAGTGGATTACTAAATTATCTGAGAAACTTGAAAAATCCTTTAAAAAATATGTGAAAAATTATCTCCCATTAGTTAATTTGCCTTAAAGCTCAGTAAAAGTGAAAAAGATTACTGAAGATAGTGGTGTATAAGAGGACACCTAATAAACTATTTCACATAATGAGAAGGTAGAATTCTCAAACAATTTAAAATAATTAAATTCTGATTAGATTGGTGGAATAGTTTAGATAATATAAGCTAATAGTCCAAGTGCCTTTGTTGCAGTCAATAAAGAGCGATTTTAGATCATAATAGATAATATTGATTTTGATACTTTTGTAAAATGTTAGAATTAAATTTAATCTTGGATGACTGGAGAAGAGGTTAATAAGAAGGTTAAAATATGAATTATTTATATTATTTCACATTAACTTTATAATATTTTTGTTTCACTGTAAAAATGCCATTTCATTTTTAGTAAATCAATTAAAAAAAAAAAAAAATATATATATATATTGTTTTGTTTATTTAAATAGGATATTTTGGTCTAAATTAGGGCAAGAATTATATTTTTATTATTTAATATTGGTTTAATATAAATGTAGATGCATTTGAGGATTAAAAGTGACATAATATATGATTAAATCAATCTAGATTTGCAATAATAATCTAGCTAAAGGTTTTTGAAATCAGAATAAAAATCATAATCTTTATCATCATAAATTTATGAAGGAATGTTATCAGAACGTAAACTAGATTCTTAATTCTCCCCAAAAATAAAGAGAAATCAATAAAGACATTAATTGAATTCATCTTATTGTTGGTTTTATGAAGATG